CTTTATGTAGTCGAATGCGCGCTCGCAAGATAGCTTTCAATGGTATAAAAAAATAAAGCCTTTCCCCTAAAAGTAAGTCAAGCAGCTGAACTAGGATGTAAAATGGTTGCGACATCTGGTGTGGCGAAGAACAATAAAAATGTGATGATCGACTGTCGTTAAGAGCCGCTTGCGAACACGTTAGAAGGCTAATCATTGAGCCGCCTATTTCAAGTTGTTCACGAAAGAGGAAGGAGAGCAAGAGAAAGAATAAGAAATTTTCGTGTTTGTTCACGGTTGATCATCTTGAAACTTCTAGGTTTCGGTTTTCCTCCCGTAGAAAGGCGATGAAATCGATGGAATTTAAGCTGTTGATGGATTGAGTATCATTGAGAAACATTGTTTTTCGTTATGTATTAAATTGTATGATTAGATGGGTCTCTGATTTCAGATATGGGATACAGCAGGACAGGAGCGCTTCCAGTCTTTGGGTGTCGCCTTCTACCGTGGTGCTGACTGTTGTGTGTTGGCTTTTGATGTGACTAGTGCGTCGTCATTTAAGAGTTTAGATTCGTGGCGAGACGAGTTCCTTATTCAGGCTTGGTAAATTTTTACCATAATTGAGTCATGTTTCTCCGCAGTGTTTTCTGACTAATGTTGTTTACGCTTTTCTTTTAAGCCCACGTGATCCAGAAAACTTTCCTTTTGTGCTTCTCGGAAACAAAGTGGATTTAGAAGCGCAGCGAGCTGTGAGTTCGAAACGGGCACAGTCGTGGTGTCAGTCCAAGAATAACATTCCATACTATGAGGTAAAACAAGGAAACATTGGAAAATTTTTATTTTGCTGTACTTCTTTTTGACAAGGTTGAAATGGTAATATTTAGGTGTCTGCAAAAGAAGCAGTGAATGTAGAGGCTGCTTTCCAAGCAATTGCGCGCGATGCACTCGCGAGAGAGGCTCAGGTCAGATTTTAGGTTTATTCTTACCAGTTTTTTCTTCTTTCTTCTTGGGCGTGCAGGAACACCTGCACATTATTGTAAATAGTCTCATTCTGTTTTTAGTGAGAGGTTCATTTTCTATTCATTTATCTATGGCCTAATAACGCCGCAGTGTTCACTAGAAGGAGGAAGGGGAAGTAACGGCCTCACTCTTGACCGTGTTTTCCGGCATTCATTTCGAAATTGAGATGTTCCTTCTTGTTTCCTCCGACTTGTTAGCTGAGTAAGAATGAGACACTTTTGCTGTTCCAGACGCGAAGGATTGTCGGTTGCTATCCTTGAGATTGGAATGGGCGGTATAAAAGTGGGGCAAAAAAATGAAGTGGGTAGATGTGCTGGTGTTGTAATACGATTGATACGAAATTAATTGCGATTAATACAGTGCGTTTCAAAAGTATGTGCACACCCTCAAAATTCACGTTTGAAAGGGAACCATGAGGTTTCGTGCTATGAAATCCTTCTCAATCGATTTCTCGTAGTCGATAACCTATCAATGGAAGCAAAGCAGATAATATCGCCTTCACTTTCGAAAAAAATTTTGGATGAAATTTTTTTCTTTGTTTCAAAAGTATGTGCACACTTAACAAAAGACAAAAACATAGCTGAGATTAGAAATCAGTGGGGCCTCCAGAGTTTCTAATTAGCTCAAACATCCTGTCCGGCATAATCTGAACCACGTTTGGCATAGCTGTTTCGTCGCTGTCGGCCCAAAATAGCCTCTACCGCCGCCTTCAGTTCATCCGCGGTATTATACTGCCGGTTGCTAAAGTTAACGCCTTGATCAAGGGCTCCCTATAGGGTTGCAGTAAGGAGGACACACAAGCCAATCTATCGCTTCAGCACCATTTGGTTAAGGCCATTCTTTGGTAGATTGCGAAGCATCGAAAGACACGTGGTCCTGTTGCTAAAAATGCAATTTTCGCTCCGCTTCGCTAAGGAAGGGCAACAGGTGACATTGGAGCACTGCTTGGTATTCTTTACAGTTCATACGCAATAATGGAACGGCAACTTCTGAATTTCCGCTGATTGCGAAACCGCCGCAGACCCATCAACGGGCCTCTTCCGAAATTCCTTCTCGAGAGCACGAGCGACTCACGGCCAAGCCTCTCCAGTAGTAGCAAAATCCACCCGGCCCGTCAAGATCGAACTCTTTCCATGAGTTAAGATTACCTGAGGAGAGAAAGTCCATAAAAAGTTGCTTGTTTTGAAAATAGGAAATTCTCGAAAAACCGTGTCTTCGCCCGGTGTCCTATCCTATGTTGCCGTGTCTGTACGAGCAGACTCCAATGTGGCTAACTTGTGCTGGGCCTTGAAGTGAGTAGCCTTTCTCAGCGTCTGTCGAGTGGTGTATTCATTTGAGCGGATGAGGGGCTTAGTGGTCATTTTCGAGGCTGGAATAAAAATCTGAGCTCGGACTGTCAATGAAGAATCCGACAGGATGTGGGCTACTCTTTTGTTGTTCTGAGCAGTCAAGGATCGTGGATGGAGCGGAGTGTGTGCTGAGTATAATTATCAGGGTGCCAGATAAATCTTCGAATGCATTAAGGAGAACGACCAAGTTATCGTGCGATTTCTAGATTGGAACGTTCATTATCATGCAGAACCTTGATCTGAGCTTGCTCATCTTCAGGAAGAAGTATGGCGCGAATTGACATGATGACGAAATGAAAACAGCAAAGTCGGATTGAAATCGGTGGGAAATTCGGCGCCAAAATCTGATCTTCTTCAAGTGTGCACATACTTTTGAAACAAAGAAAAAAATTTCATCCAAAAATTTTTTCCGAAAGTGAGGCGATATTATCTGCTTTGCTTCCATTGATAGGTTATCGACTACGAGAAATCGATTGAGAAGGATTTCATAGCACGAAACCTCATGGTTCCCTTTCAAACGTGAATTTTGAGGGTGTGCACATACTTTTGAAACGCACTGTGTATAAATGGACGAAAATACTGATAGGCCCGAACATTTGAAAAAAGGAATGAATCGATAGTCTTGTCTCCTAGACATCGTTGACGATCATCCGCTGCTAGTCAAACAGCACTGAATTCTTCATTAAATCTTCTTAGCAAACTTATTTTTGACGAACGCTCTCTTGGACTCAGTTACTGGATGTATTAGTATTGACTTCCGGTGTATAGCTAACCTGTTTAGCGTAGCTACATGTTCATTCTTTAATCCCGAGCCACGACTGTGGTTAACTTTTCATTCCTTTTTTTTGTGAAAATGAGGTTTCCTTTGTTTATTTGGTTCTTAAAAGTTGCAAAGTTTTTGCTGTGGTGCCGAAATGTTTGTCTACACGCGATGAATTGCTGAAGGTGGTAGAAGTAAACATTCTAGCGACAGCAGTACTGTGGCAAATTCGTCCACGGTTCAAGGGACTTTCAGTGGCTCGTTTCTGTTCAGCCAATTATATGACTGAAACTTTCTATCGAAAGAGGGTCGGTGCTAAGTGAGATGGACAATTTTGCTCAAGGAACTTCAGTAGCCAACTAAAATGGTGGCGTAATGTGGCTACGTCTTTTCCAAGGTTATCCGTTAGCTTCGCTGTGAATGTATATCCTTTTTGAAGACTTTGGGTGTAAGTACATTGAAAGAGTGTGCAGCAGGTTGCGTAGTGCGGAATGATTGGTGAAGAGGAGTGGGTACTAGCACTTTTACTCGTATGCTTAGGATGTCGCTGTTTTATTTTCTTTGTTGGAAAGGGGGAGTGTTCGCCAAGAAGATCACATCACTTTTTCTTTGTTACATTGATGTTTTCTGTTGCACATTCGATTGAGCCATATGTGATTGGGTGACTGTGTTAATGCCTTTTTCTTTGTTGAGTTTCGGTCTCGAAATGCAGTTCTGCAGTTCAACCTGTCAAAATCTGCACTAAGTTTCATGCTCGCTTCGCCTCCTTTCTTAGATATTTACCGTCTTCCACATACACGGTTATTTGTCCCAGCCCTTATTTCCACATATTGGCCAACAGCGTTGAGAACGCTGAGCGTACAGGTATAATACAGTAGTTACACATCGATACCTTCAAGTTCTGGGGAGTTTTGTGTCTAATGGTTATGGTGAAACAACATGCAGGCCGTAAAGCATAACTGAAAATATCTCTCCATTAAAAACTTGGGCAAAGCAAAAAATCAGATACTTCCCCCCCCCTCAATGTTTTCTGAAAGCAACACCCTTCAACGGAACGAATGTTGAAAAAAAAAACTAAAATATAAACATGTACGCACTTTTTACCTGAAATACTTTACCCTGCACTGAGTTTTAGTATTAGAACTAACGGTTTGGCGTTCAATGATTACATTTTTCCTCGAACTAGTTCGTTCGGCTAGTCAGCTGATTCAATCTTTCATGTGTTCCAGGATTCTCATGATTTTCCGGAATTTCCCGATCAGATTCGACTCAACGAGCATCGATCGTCGACGAGCGGCGGTTGCAACTGCTAAGTGGTTTCATCCAATCGCTTCACTCTGATTATTTTCAATTCTTTTCATTCACATTTGTCCCCTCACAACCTCACATTCAATCAGTCAGTTCACTGGCATTAGCCTTAGAATTTCCCTGTTTCTTCCCATACGTAGCAATCGATATATGACTAGAAGAAGTTGCCAAAGCGAAGCGCGCCCCGTACTTATAACAATGATGCCCGTGTGCTGCATTGTGTCTGTATAGTTTCTTTATTGTGTTCGAGTCAACGCTTATGTCAATGAGGTGATGAGAGTTGTGCAGCAGCGCTTCTATTCAGATAACGAATACTGGTAGCTGCCGATGGAATTACACTACTGTTTGGTAGGATGTGTAAAGAATGTCTCCTGAAATGTGACGCTGAATAGCTAAACACCGCTAATACACATAAGTCTTGTGATGAAGTTTTCCAGTCTGATTTTTCTTCTCCGTCTCCTATTTCTTGCGTTCTCTTGCTCTGTCTCAGCTCTGAAATGTGTGCATGTGGATATGGTGGCCAATTTGGAATTTCACGAAATCCTGTACTTCCTACAACCTGGTTCGTTTTATTCATCGCCACAGTCTGATCGTTCATTCATAATGTGCATGTTGTCGACTGTTTCTATGTTTTTTAATGCTCGATAAAGTACAAGAGAGAATTTTCAAATGCCTTACATTGTGGCGCTATACGTTTAAGATATCCAGTTACCGATGATGTACGGTTGCAGGAGTGATGGTTTTCAGGAGAATTGTATGACTGAAACTTCTTTTGAAAGGTTCATGCAGTTTTTATACCACCCATTCTGAGACGCATTTTCCAATCTTCCTGTGGTTGTGGCGGTCAAGAATGAACATTGAGGTTCGAGGGTGGACATTGAGTGAAGCAGAGAGAAAAAAAAACTGCCCGAAGCCCTGAAAATTTTGCGCGGGAGAGAAGTCTACAGGGTGGTCCAAAATTATGAGGACCAAGACATTGTGTCGTTAAAAACGCATAGTAGCTTGATGGAACAAACCAACTTCTGGGAAGTATTTGTAACTCTTACCTCAAAGTAATTCCAGAATAGAATTGAGATCTGCCACTTCCCCCGTTAACACGAGCCTTCGGATGAGGGGATGGCGCGTGCGGTGGCACGCAACTAAGGCGTGTCCAAATGTTTCCAGGCCTTCTGCTCTGCCTTCTTCAGGGAATCAAACTTTTGTGTTGCATTTATTTGCGCTTGCATCCAGGGTGTGAAATACAGAAATCTAGAGCTATTAGGTGGATGGGTTCCATTGTAACAATTCTTCGAAAGCAACGAACTCGAAAAATCGCTTTTTGGAGGATTTTTGCTTTATTCTTGGGTGCTCGGTCCTGTAAGAAGCTCGTGTGGCTTTCTATCCACTACAGATGTGGAGTCTTTAGAGTGTCTGGCTGGGTTTTCACATCAATTTTTTTTCATTTTGGGTGTACGAAAGTCGACAAGGGGAGACCTAGTTTCTGCATCTGATAATTATCCTGGTGGTAACTGTAACTTTCGAGTCTCCGAATTTTCCATCTGTGGTGGTTCCAAACTTATTGAAGAGTTGAACTGTTGCTCATAAGAGCTTCCTGATAGGTTAGACTGCTGCTAGATGTAACGTGCCAGAGCCCCTAGTGAGTTCAATTTGAGGACTGACTCAAAGTGAAGTAGTTATTTCACTAGTTTTGAGAACTTCATGAAATTTGGTTTCATTAGGAAGAAGACATTGTACCCTTTCACATAGTGCACAGAAAACGAGATGAAAATGGAGCGATACGGAAAAAAGTGGATATGACTGCGCGCACGCGGTCCTCATAATTTTGGACCACCCTGTACTTCGGAGGCTGCTGAACACCGGTACGAGAGAGCATAGGGAAAGGAGAAGACGCAGCACGCGGTCATGTACGCGAGCAAAATGAGTAGCTCATGGGATACTAAGCGTTGAGGACGGTGCAATTCTATCTCAGTGGATAGTCCTATCGTACTCATGGAAGGGATCATCCCATCGAATTACTAGATTCATTAGAAATCGTTATTTTAGGTGGAAACGGTAAGTAGGTCCTGGTGCTCTGGAATTGTGTTCTGATCATTTTGAACTCGTAGGGCGTTGAAGCTGTGGTCGGGTGCGGAGAAGAATGTCCCATGATATGAGCACCAGTTTGGAGAAAAAAAATCATTTTTTATGAAAACCAGGTTAATAGAAGCCGTGCATTTGAGGTAAATTGCTGGCAAACCTCCCAGTTAGCATAAACGTGGCCAAAATCATTCGACCACTCAACAGCGTTGCCTTGGCGGTAACACGGTTAGTGCTTTCTACTGTGCCATGAGGAATAAGATGTTGTGCTCTCTTAACGCTATTTTAGTAGACGCGTTCACTGCCAAGCAGTGGAAGCGTATGAATGATATGGCGTCATCGAGCAGGGAAAGAGTGAAAGGTGGCTCAAATGCATTGTAGAAGTAGCAAAAAAACGCTATTCGTCGACGAGAGTGATTTTATGGTGAATGTCAAATAAGATCTATAGGGATCTGTTACAGCTGAAAAAGAAACTGCTGGGTCCGAGTGATATAGGCCGATGTCAGACTTTGCGAATCGCGCGATTCGCTACTAGCGATTCGCGCGATTCGCTAGCGTCCGCGGTCGCGTTGCGGTACCAGCCAATTGAGTGATTCACTGGCCGCGACGCGACCGCAGACGCTAGCGAATCGCGCGATTCGCAAAGTCTGACATCGGCCTTACCGAGTTCCTAAGGAGAAGAATAGGCCACTGTGGGTGACCGCAGGTGAGAAAGGATAAAAGTATGTGATATAATAAAAACGATGGCTGGGGTGGAAAGGATGACGGATTGCAGCGAACAGA